AATTAATAGGAACTTAATGATCACTTTTAATATAACAAAAATGACACCTTTCACAGTGCGTTAATTACAAAGCATGTACAAAATACGATATCAACGAGCAACTGATGTGGTAACAACGTCACGCATAAATCCGAACTTTAAAAATCTCTTCATTTAATTTTTATTAATAAGTTGTAGCTTTTTAATAAATAAATAGCCACCCAGACCAAATGTTTGGAATCTGACCTCGAAAAATGTACACTTAAAACACGTGTTAGTGACGGCAGTTTTCAATTTCAGTAATAAGTCTAGTCTTTCAACAACTGCTCTATTATATTAAAATAGCTTCCCAATAAACTTCAGTTTGTAAGCCTCACGCAAATGAACTTCGAACAACTTATAATCACAATCTTGAAATGTTCTTAAGTATATTTTTAAAAACTTTTATTGGCATAGAATAAGCAAGTTATTCGCAATAACATGAAATACTTTTTAAAAAACTAAGCATCTATTAGCATTTTACGTTAAAGTTCTAGGTACAACTTCTTCATCAATTAATCCTACATGTTTAACCTTGAATTATTGTTGTTGTTTTTGTTCTAAACACTCGCAACGTTCTTCAGCACGAATGTTTATAAACCGACCATCCGTTCGTCTTTAACTCTCGTCATATTGCTACAATCCAGATGTTGATAAAATATTCACAGTATTCATAACCTTAATGCTTATAAGTTGAACCTTTACTCAAATAATACTCTTACTTATAAACTTTTTTATAAATTTAAAGTCGGTCTAGGACCATAGGGTATTTTTGAATGTAGTCATACACACATAATATTAAAGATCACTGTTTGTAACTGAAGTAACCTGCCTACCGATATTTAATATGAAATTTAGAACCAGTCAAAACTATCCAAATCATAGCTGAACCGAGAAACATTCTTTTAGGACCAAAAGTACACGATTTTGTATATAATAACTGAATATATACATTTCACATCGATTTTTCGACATAGGGTATGTAGAATATTTAGAACAGTTTGTTTGGGCAACAAAAATGTTTCTTATGAAAATTAATGTGCAAGTCGACAAATGTGTTCGAAGAGTCCAAAAATTTACGTTAAACTGTGTATAGTAAAACATTTCTCGACAGAAAAAAAAATCTGAAAATAAATTTTGTAAAAACATTTAAAAGCCTTCATCGAAAAACTAAAATCGTAATAAGAGAAAGGGAAACGTTGGCAACAGTTTCGCTTACATTTTAAGCGATTTTAAATATTTATATTTTGGGTTTTAATCACGTTGTAGCTGTTCGATTTTTTTTTCTTACGAAATTTAGTCGATTTGTAAGAAGCTAAGTGTACCTAATTATGTTTATTTTCATCGAGTACTATTGACATTATTTTAAAAAGCATACGGCATGAATACTGTCAAATATTGTGAACAAGTAGTGTAAAAATTAAGATAACTAATTTATAAAACTCGAAATGTCACGTGAAAAAAAAATGCACTGACTGGAAATTGTCTTTATATAATTAACTATCAATCTATATAAAAACATTTTAATCAATTACAACACAACCACTACAAATATTTTGGTATTTTTTTTCCCCCTTAATATTAGATTTCAAATGCAAACGTTCGAACATCAATTGTGGTAGCAAATTGGGCATTTAAAAAAAAATTAAAAATCTGTTATTGTAGTGTTTATTATAATTCATAGACGTGTCATTTTGACGATATACAGTAATATTAAATACCAACTAATAATTGTATGATGACGTCTACATTATATGACAACTTAAGAATTTCTTGGCGTTTTTAACTTGCTCAAAGCAGTGTAATTCAGTCGATTAAGATTCTGCCGGTTGATAAATAAACGCCTGGAAGGGGGAATGTTTCTTCCGGACTTTTTAAAACAAACAAACAATATTGAGTATCTATTATAATAAAAAAGGATAACAATACTTTACATGAACAACAGTATTCATTAATATTAAACACATTTTCCCCACAACGATTTTTATGAAAGATGTAAAATTCATTTAAGTCGATATGAATAAAATAGAAAAATGTGTAAGTACAACGTGCGTGTGTCTATATATGGCCCATACGTTTAACACTGACCAGAAGCGTTCGTCAATAGGTTTGACATTGAGAAAGGTTGCACATTACGTGACAAACTGTTGAGAATACTCTTGTTAAATACAAGTTAACCTTGAAGAGGTGTCCATTTTCTTAAGCGCGAAAAATTTAGAGAAAGTTTTTAGTTTTAAAACGAAGTTAGCATGTTCTGTTGTCACAAAAGTTAAATAGAAGCTGTTTGACAGAAAAAATAATATTTTCACAGGTAAAATTAGCAAAATAAAAATGCCTAATTCCTAATAATAATAATAAAAACACGAGCTCTTGTTCTACGCCGTTTAAACGTAAGATGCAATAACGATACACACAGTAACAGATAAAGAAGTTTACTTATTAATTTAGAATGTCCTCCAGGGACACTCACGTACTAAAGTAAAAATAATTTTAAATTTCACAAAAGTTCGTTTATAAATTTGGTTTCAGTAGAGCGAAAAGTTGGATGTAATACTTTTTTTTATATAAAAATATTCTCACGATAATATTATCTTTTGTTTTTGGTTCAACATCTAAAATTACATCCCACCCGAAGCGTCTTTCTACACTTAATTACATGCGTCAAATTGACGCCCGCAAGAAAATAGTAAAATAGCAGTACAAAGACCTTCAACGTATAAAATTAGTCTGAAAATACGAAGTTAAATAAAAAAATAATGGATGAAATACGTTAAACATAAATACATGAGAATACCCGTTAAACAGTATATTTAACACAAAAAAGCAACAGATATACTTCAAAGTAACTAATATAACACTCAATTATAAATGACCCATTACGAGTTATGCACATTCTTGTTATAGTTAAAAACAATAATAATAATAAAATGTTAGAATCACACAGTTGAATATACCGTATTTTTCGGTGTATAAGACGCACTTTTTTTAACCCAAAATTTGATGTCAAAATTTGCTTGCTTCCTATACACCGAAGGTATGAATAATATATATGTATATATACGATATACACAAGCCATGT